GTTGATCTTCGCTTTTGGTTTGATCTGGGTACGCGAAGCAGATGGTAGCAGTTGCTGTTGCTAGCTGCTAGACGGCTCAACGCTGAGCTTCGGACGAGTCATCCAGTGCAGCACGAAACGCAGACTGCAAACGTTTTTGAAGTGGGTCTGAACGCACCAGCGCGTAAGCTCAGCGCGTATCATGTAGCACACTGCAACATATTCTTGTTGCTGTCGAACGTAGCTCTCCGCAACAGAGCTCGGGACCAGGCTGCAGGACCCTGCTACGATAAGGTGGTGGTCACAGAGACGCGACAAATTAATCAACGACGGACAGGCGATCTGGGTGGTCGGGTCCATGTCTTTCAAACGCATCAGATACGGAAGCCCAATGACCCAGTGATATAGCATCTGTATGTACGCGGAGTAAGCTCGCGAAGTGGCCTCATCCCGTCGTGCACCGAGGTGGCCATTTGCCGATGCGTACAGCCGCGCCGTCCCTGCTCTCGTGCTCGTCCACGGCCAGTGTCGCGCGTTCGCTACAGATTTGGCGCGAGTACCAATGGCCAGACTTTCGGCCGCGTGCATCAAGTGACCCAGCACCGACAGCGCCCCGACGACGCCGCCGCAACTGGCTTGTGCCGCTTGGACTAGCTATACTCGGTGTTCTCGGGATCGTCGCGGTCGTTTTGACCGTCACGACGATTGTCAAGCGCGTTTTACCCGTGGCCGCTACGCCGACACCGGTACCCCACGCGCCGTCGGCCACGACCGCACCCGCACTTGCTGCGACGAACTCGCCACAAGCGACAGGCTCGTACGCCACGCCTTTGCCCAGCTCCAATGATCGCTTCATGTACGCGCCAGACCCGTACACGATTGTGTTCCCGTTCAACAGCTCCCAAGAAGAGCCCCGGTCGACCAAAGTCTCGCGCTTCGGCGAAACGGAGAGTCCAACCGACGACGAGGACGACGTCCTTTTGCCCGAAGAAAACCAAGTGCATGCGCAGCTCGCACGGCTACGCAATGCTATGGGCATGGAAAACGTTCCGTTCTACAGCCGCGAGATCGCTCTACGCATCGGCAGCCTGGCCAACAACTGCTCCAGCTATGTGAATGCAACCGAGCTACCCCAGATTGTCCACGTACCGACTGTCAAATGCTCAGCGGACGCCTGCGTCCATACGCTGGGGCCGATTTGGACCTGGTTCGAGGCTGGCTTTGCGCAGTGGAATGAGACAGCCAACGAGTGTATGCAGCCAGCGTCACACGCGTGCCGGGCGCTCCGAGGCTGGCTCAACCCGGATTTGACCGAGTACGGCTGTGCGTGGTCCAACTGCACACATGGAGCTCATGTGTGGTGTGAGTGGAATGTCCCTCCCACCAACGTGACAACGTACGTCATTCGCTCCGTGACTGCGTCGCAATTGCTGCCTCCAACTATTTAAGCACTTTTGGTCATGAGTACTACTCTTTTGTGTGCGCATGTGACAAAGGGCCATGGAGTAAAGCCTCCGTAGAAACCAAGGGGTTGATCATGGGGGTTGGTAGTGCCGCACTTACAGAGATTGTTCCTCAGCACATCGGCATGATGCTGAAGGCGATGGAACAAAGGCTCGCCATCTCATTCGTGTGGCGTGATTTTAGACAATGCGTAACCGCTGCTACTGGCCAAACGCTATTATCGCTTTCACAACGAACCAAATGAGCGCCGTAGCCCCGATCGAGCCTGCTGGCGCCGAGTCTGAAGCGCGGTCGACGGACCTGGCCGCTGTGGGAACCTTGGTACCTCCGCCGTCGCCGTCGCCGTCACCCATGGGACGCCCAAAGCTCGTGCTGCAGCTCTCTTCCGTGGACGAACCACCGCCGGCACCGGTTGCGGGCATGCTAGGCGCACTCAAGGCGCACCACAAAGAGCAAATCAGCCCCGAAGAGAGCTTGAAAGAGGTCCAGGGCGACGGACCCGCCGATCTTGCGACCGATACGTGCCGCTTCAAGCGCTTGGGCAAGGGGGCGGGCGGTGCCGTGTACCTCGCTTGCTATCTTCCATCGTTACAGCTTATCGCGATCAAAGAAGTCGTAATGCACCACGTCGAAGACCAACACATGGTAGCCCACGAGCTCCATGCGCTTCACGACAACCTCGTGCCGCTCGTGCAAGCGGCCACGCACAAGTCCATCAAGTTTCTTGGAAAGCTCTCGCATCGGAAGCTTCATATTGGGATTGCGCACCCATGCCCCACAGATCGT